TTATCTTGAAGTCTTATTTTATTGGATATTAATTTTTCATCTTGGACCTTTTTTTGGGTTCTGTTTGCATGGCATGACTTTCCATTGCTTCACTTTCAGTCTGTGTATGTCCTTGTAAATGATTCTTCTACTGTAAGGATGGCAATATTTCCTTCTTTTTTTTTTTTGGAGAGGTTTTTCGCTATAGGGCTCGTGCACTCGCCAGACAGACAAGAGAGAGACATAAAGACAGAAAGTGAGAAATCACCCCCCAGTGGGGATGGCCACGCTGCAATCCCTTCTCCTCCTTTCTCCCCTCAGGATCTTGGGCACGCATGCACACGCGCCCGGCGTGAGTTTTAAGCCACCAAGTCCGGGACGCGAACCGCGGTCGACTACATGGGAGTCCAGTGACATAGCCATTACGCTAACTACTGGTTCCCAATATTTCCTTCTTTACAGACGTTAGGAAATAATTTCCAGTGTCTGGTTTGATGGAGATATAGTCAATTAGGAAATGCTATTTTTCTACTGTTGCAGAAACATGGCAAAGATTAGATGCTTAATATTGGCACTTTATAAACATAGTCATATTAAGTTGCTTGAATCTAAGAACGAGGATGTTGTTAGGATCCTCGTTCTTAGAATAGCTCATGGTCATTGTCTTTCACCTTTATATTATTTCACCTCTTTGATTATTGTTCTATAATGAAAATAGTTGTAAAAATTCTTAGTGAACAAGACATTCTAAGAATATTGTTAGTATGCATGTGAGAATAGGAAATTATGAATAAAAATTATAACTTAATTTTTACTCTTTCAAGTTGAAAATACCAGTATTTTGTTTTGATTTTTTCTTTATGCCTGTATATTTTCATATTTAAAATTAGTAGATGCTTATACCCTCATGAAATATTTAGAGAAATGTAAATAACAACCCATAGTCCTAGTTCTTATGGATATGTTAATATTTTACGTTTTCTTGTGAATGGTATTTAGGTGGTTGATGTGTCAGTTTCTTAGGGGGGAGTGGACAGTAGCCTTGAGAAAGATTAACTGCCTGTTACTGGGAAGTTCAGAAAGTTTTAACTATACAATTGACCCTTCAATAAAGTGAGGGTTAGTAGTACTGTATTCCCCCCAACACACATATAGAGTTGAAAATCTCGTGTAACCTGACTCCTCAAAAACTTAACTACAGATAGCTTATTGACTATTTACTGACAACATAAACTGTATGTATTTTCTGTATTATATTTATCATATACTGTATTCTTACACTAAAGCAAGGTGGAGAAGAAATACTAAGAAAAGGAAGACAAAATACATGTGTCGTACTGTACTGTATTTTCCAATATATTTATTGAACTAAATCTGCTCGTTAAGTGGACCTGAGCATTTCAGACTATTGTTCAAGGGTCAAGTGTATTTAGCATTTTGATTGGTTCATACATTATTAAATGGCTGTTTTTGTCATTTGAAGAGTTAGAACATGTTCATTTGAACTTAGAAGGAATCAAACTTTTTGTTGAGATAAGTGACGAAAATGATTATGGCTCTTCTTTTAACAGGTATTTGTTTGCTTATGGAAAGGTTGTAAAGTATATAATACTCCATCAACCAGTCAAAGTTGGTTACAGAGGCACATGCTGACACACAGTGGAGATAAACCTTTCAAGGTAAGCATATGGATGTGTGTTTTAAAGTTTTTTAAAGTTAAGTTGCCTTGTTTATTAAGGGGCTATATACTTTCATCCTTTGAAAGTTTTATTTATTTTGACATTGCTATAGATGCATAGAATTTCAAGAGTATGTAGAAGTAACGATAATTTAATCCAGCTTTTTTTTTTTTTTTCAATTTGAAGAACAGGAAAAAAGTCTCTCATCAGGTTAGGGTCTTGAAAAGAGCTAGAGGGCAGAGCAGTGACTTAAAGCCGTATCTTTAAAATCAGTCAGCTCTCTTAGTTAATCACATTTACCCACTGCCAAAGGTTTCAGCCTTTTTATTAGCTTGTAATACTGACTATAATTTGAAATAAATATATTGTAAAATATCTAGGGTTTTGATTCCTTGCAGTTTTGAGGCCATACTGCTGAGGTCTTTAGTTGTAAATCACTTTGTTAATAGACATAT